CAATGTTTGCATAATCTATCTTTTTTATCAATTTTTGACCATCTACCAGTTTCAATTTCTAATTCAAAGACTCCTAAACGCAACTTAGTGAGAATACGTCTATAATTAAAATTTTGTATATGCATTAGGTATAGTTCGATTGTAAAATTATATTTAAATGACACATAATACTTAAGTCTGGAAAATAAATAAATTTGTTCATGAAAATTTTGACGTTCAATATCAGTTAGACGAGTAGTTATTTCAGATATAAAAGCAACATTGTTCTCAACATATTGTTCATACCAATTTATACCAAAATCAATTGAACATAATTTCTCCTTAATAAAGTATAACCAAGATTTATCGTTCGACTGTAATCAATAACAACTGTAAATACAACTTTTATTATCAGACAAGAGATGAAAGACACCAAATACTGAATTTTCTTTGTTTATCAAAGCCTCTTTCAGCTGATACCCGATTTGGTTTTCCTCTCTGCTTGTGATTTTGGGATTTTCAGAAAATCTAAAAAATAGTGGTATATTGAATAGAAATCTACCGAATAATTACGAAGTAGAGATAACAATAATGTTGTTATTGGCAATGCATGAGTGACGAATATTACCAATGGCGTATCTGGGTTTACGCGAGAAGGGGAGGGAACACACCCGCCTAAAAAAAGAAACCAGTCGTCCCCCACCACCATCAAAAAAGTTTGAAGCCAAAAAATAACGCTCAAATGGATAGAATTACCTCATATCCGGTGCGGATTTATGTAAGGGGGGGGGGTAAAAAAAAGGGTAAAAGAAAAAAAGAAAGAAAAAGAAAAAAATGATGGACCAGAATGCTTCAAATGTTATTTTCGGGCGTCTAGAACACAAAAATGTTGTGGGGGCCCCCGGACACCCTAGGAGAGTGTTTGTCTCGATCGGCCCAACCTTCGGCCCCCTTTCGCCCCCTCCCCCTTTGGACAACTCTGGATCCGCCCCTGCATATTGCCTTATTTTCAAGCTAGCTCCCTTCACTTATCCCACTCCCCCATCATCCCTAATCAAGACTCCTAGATACGCCAGTGAAGAATTACGCAAGACGTGTCCTAACCAATTAGCCCTACTTGTAAACATGCACAACCGCCTTTAATGTATTCCTTGTCAAGTCCATTGACGATATTATTAATATACACGTCCGACTTTAATGCCTTAACCCTTACTCATTGTTAATTTTTTTAGTTGTAGCCGTAGAATCTAAAACTTATCACAGTGACATTGTTTTGGTTGAAGTGATATATTGCTGTAATTGTTTGCTTTAAGATCTCTTTTCGATATTAAACCCATTTCATAAAATACACGATCATTATAATTATCATATATGCTATATATATATATATATATATATATATATATATATATATATATATATATATATATATATACACACACACACACACATATATATA